GAATGATAAAAAACTTTAATTCAATTTAGAGATTTAAATTATTTAGCCTAATATCAAGTAAGTACATTATTTATGGGCCTTGGCCGACCCATTTCAACCTTTTCTTGACACACACACACATATATATGATGGTTGTTTACCAGTTGGGAGTTTTAGTCCACCATGTTTCAAAATCAGAATTTTAGTCATGTAAGTTACAAAAGTTGAGAATTTTGGTCCTATGGCATGCTATAACAGGTAATGTGATGGTTGGTTGAATAAGTTGACATTTAAAATATAAAATTATATAGATGAAAAATAAATTAGGCGATGTGGCTAAAGAGTTAGACAATTTTGGAGGAAAATAAAATATACCATCAATTTTTTTTTTTATTTGATGAATGAAATAAGCATTTTTGTAGTAGCTATTTTTTAATTAATATTTCATAGTTTTCAATCGATAAAAATAGTAATTAAGTATATTTTATTACTCGTTATTTATATTTGTTACTCTTGGTTTGATAATGTATTTTATGTTTGGAGGCTCTAGGATGCTTTTTTGGTACATTTAATTTAATAGAGTTTTGAATATATTTTATTATTTTTTTGGTTAATTCGTAAATGTGTATTTGATTTCTTACACTAATTATGATTGTGCATGTCATTTAACTTTACAACAAGATTCAATAAAATATTTTTTTCCGGTTAATGTTGAATTTGATTGTTGGTTCAATTTCATTGTAATCACTGAGTATAAATTTGTAAAAAAATTAGATATTTAGATAAATATGAATTTAATTACGACTTTTATCAAATAAAAACTAAGAAATATTAATTAAACATTAGTTAATCTTATTTCCTTCATAAAAAATATAGTTATAGATTTTATTCAATGTTTATTGTGGTTCTTTATTGCAACTATAACAAAAAAATCAAATATATAAATTAATATGTTAAAACTTCCTCATTAATTTTGGTGAATTTAACATAGATGATCAATTTTTTTCCAAAATCATCCAACTCATTAGCCACATTACCTAATTTATTTTTAATTTATTGATTTTTATATTTTAAATGTCAACTCATTCAACCAAGCATCACATTACCTATTATAGCAGGTCATAGGACCAAAATTCTCAACTTTTGTAACTTACGGGACTAAAATTCTGATTTTAAAATATGATGGACTAAAACTCTCAACTAGCAAACTTACAAGACTAAAAAACCCATCTTGCTTATATTATATATAACTAAAACTAACCCTAAAGTTGTTATTTTTATCTAGACACGACCATGGGCCGGTTTTGGGCCCGGAACCGACCCGAACCGGCTCGAACCGTTGACCGGTGAACTGGCCCGTCGTCCCCGGGACGGGCCCGATTCTATGAATTGGTGAACCGTGAACCGCCGGCCCGGCCCGGCGGTTCACCCGGATTAAAAAAAAAATAATCAAAAAAATTCATAAAAAGCAAAAAACGGCCGGTGAACCGGCCGTTATTTGCTATTTTCTGAATCCCCCCCACACCCCATTTTTTCCTATAAAATTAAGTTAAAGTCATTTTATTTATTTCCTTTTGTTTTTTTCCTATTTAAAAGTAATTATTTTAATTTATTTATCCATTAAGTATTTTTTTTTTAAATATATATATAAATATAAATTTCCGGGCTGACCCGGAACCGGATTGAATTGGCGGGCCGACCCGGCCCGCCGAACCGTGCATATTACGGGCCGGTTCCGGTTCCGGAAAAAGTGAACCGTGAACCGGTATGAACCGGCCCGAACCAGCCTATGGTCGTGTTTATTTTTATCTTCTCGCTTTATCTTCCTTCCTCTCTTTGGCCACTGCTTCTAGCCTCATAGTATATTTATTTTTGAGATTTTTGATGAGAAAGATTATTATTTTTGAGATGATTGAATCGGATCTTGAAGATTATTATTGTTGATGATAAAGATCAGATCTTGAAGACTGTTATCTTTAATATTGATCCAATCAACGATCAAGAGACGGAACTCCTCCGTAGATATATTGCAGAGATGGAGGACCTCAACAAACATATGGATGACCTCAAGAAACAGATGGATAACCTCCTCAAACTACGGCTTGCCCTCCAACAAAGACGCAAAGAAGAGCTGCATGCATTGAGGAATAAAGTTACACCTGTTGTCGGGTATGCTGTCGGGCAGCCGCATGTGGAAAAGAGGATATCACCGTCGGCACCGTCACAAAATTCTTTGTCAAGGAAAGTCAAGAGAGAATTCAATAAAATGGTACGGATGGCTGATGAAAACCTTAGAGCCCAGAAAGGAGAACTACTCATGAAAGCCAACGATTCGATCTTCTTTTATGTTCTTGAGACGAGAACTACTCATGTGCTCTCATGATTTGAGCTTTTCTTACTTTTTATTTCATTTCGATCATGCTTTTAATTGCACTGTAGTATGATTCATATATAAAACATATGTACATCAATATTATGATAAACATATTATTTGACAAGTGACCACGACTTTCATACTAGTTGATCATAGAAAGAAACAATACTAGTTGATCATAGAAAGAAACAATAGATCAAACATACTTTATCAACATATACATAGTATACACAAGAGTACATAATAACATAAAGTTTGGATATAATTTCATAGCATAAATTAATTCATGTCCAACATAGTTGATTTATATAAATATATAGCACGTAATCAATATGTGTCCATGCAATTACACAATTCTTAGGAATTGGTATGGCTTACACAAATAATAATATGTATAATAATATTCTTAATATACGAAACAAGTCTAATCGTTCATAGACAATAATAAAAATATTAATAAAATCACGTACTCACAAATTTCATATAACATATTCGAAAATCAATCAATTGGACGGCTCCACATCAAATGACAATTGGGATAAAACTAATCCCGAATCAAAACTATATGCAATTTATGCAAATAAATATTGCATTTTCATGAGAAATGTCATGTAGTATAACACTTAGTATCATGCGGTTCATGATAAATTTATTCAAATAATTAGCACATACACTCTCACTTTATTGCATTTAGGATAAAATCATTTATATCATTAATGTAGATACACAAACATAATGAATATTCATTAAAGCATATATATTGTATATGGTTTACCATGCTTCAACATATGAAAATTAAACTATCATGCAATAATCCACGATTATATCATATAGCATTATCAATTTATTGCACAAATAGATATCTTATAATTAGAAAAAGCGTACCCGATAAATTATATGTTCGTCAATTCACAATTATGTGGGTAGCACCAAATCGTGTCAATATTATGGCAGTGTTGAATGATTTAATCATATCTCTTTCGTCTGAATTCCGATTTTGTTGATTCAATATGATCCGAATAGCCAACAAAATTTTCTACAACTTTTATCTTTCACGTTTTTTGAGATTCGGACTAGATCATGATCAAAGTAAGCCTCGAAGTCGGAATAGGTGTGCTGTAAATTTGCACCTACAATGGAACCACAAAAATATTAAATAATATTCATGAATCGAAATAATATAAAACATCATCATTATTCTTCGACTCGGTCTTCTTTCACCAAAATTTCGTGCATTGGACATTGGTGAGGCGTTAATATGCGACAAGTTGCATTGGTCACGAACGGTTGTATTTTTCATGAAAAAATGCATTGGCAGTTCTGACACCCTTTCGTCTTTTCATCATAACTCCTCCATACAATCTCCGATTGTGACTATTTAACATGTTCTGGAAAGACAACTTGATTATCTACAACTTCTGTGAAATGTTAATTTTCCATATTCGGATTTTAACAGCTTCGAAAATGCAAAAGAACGTGAACCGGTCGTTATTTGCTATTTTTTGAATTTTTGTCCCCCCCCATTTTTTCTTATAAATACCCTCACACCCCTTTTTTTCATATAAAATTAAGTTAAAGTCCTTCTATTTATTTCCTTTTGTTTTTTTCCTATTTAAAAGTAATTATTTTAATTTATTTATCCATTAAGTATTTTTTTTTAAATTTATATATAAATATAATTTTCCGGGCCGACCCGGAACCGGCCCGGAACCGGATTGAACCGCCGTCTACCGGACCGTGCGTCCGTTTTGGGCGTGGATCTAGCTGTTTCGCGCCCAGTTTACTCGTGAAACGAATTTTTGGGCGTCCAAATTGGTCGTGGGTCGCGTTTTCACGATTTAAAGAACAAAAACGAACAAATTTTGCCTCATTGGATTCCGTATCTCGTTCCTCATTCGATGCACTCATTTTTTTTTTGCAAATGGCTACAATAACATGAGTTTTGGAATGATTTCTAATATCAAAGCTAAAATTGTAGAGAGAGAAAGAAAGATAAAGAGTAGATTTTTTAAAACGACATTCGTAATTTTGCTACCGCGAATAGCACCTCCCCTAGAAAAATTAGTGATTGAAAACAAGCAAAATGGTTCAAGTTTGAGAATCCAACAAAAATATTCATGTTTGGTCCTTGTTCATAAAAAATATAAAAAATTTAGTCCCTCATGTTTATAAATAAGGGTAAATTATGAAAAACCCCTGAACTTAGGCTAAATAACAAAAAACACCCCACCTATTCGTAATTACCTTTTATTTCTCACCTATTTAACATAAGGTATAATAGACTGTACATATTTTCTGTTAAAAAACTCGATCAACAGTTAATCAGAGGGAGGTTTTGGTTATTACGGATAGGTGAGGTGTTTTTCGTTATTTAGCCTAAGTTTAGGGGGTTTTCGTAATTTACCCTAAAAATTAACACTTTTCTCGCATGTGCCCATCACTGTCTTAAATGAGGACCTTACTGCGAAATTGATGGAAATGACCAAAAATGTTAAATAGTTGAAATACGAGGGACTAAATCCGTTATTTATTTTTAATAATGGGGTCTAAAATGAAATTAAGGCAAACTTGAGGGGTACAAATTGTAACTTTTTCCGAGAAGAAGAAAAGGACAAGCGCCAAAAGAAAAATGAAAAAAATGAAAAAATAAAGGAAGAAAGGGTGGAGGGAAGCGGTGGTGCTTTCTTGCGCCATAATGTGTTTGTCGGCTAATGCCGCATGAGATGGGATGAGAGCTCATCAATTACTTTATTATTTGTTTCTCTCTCTAAAAAGCAGAACATGTGTGCTGTAATAAAATCGATTCCCCAAACAAAAATCAATGTCGGAGAAAATACATAAACAAGATCCCTACTTCTTTTGACAGAGTGAAAGAAAAAAGAAAATTTAATCTGGGAAATGGTGAAGAAGATAATGTACAGTTGGAAACGATGGTGGGAATCAGTCCACAGTCACAATTACTTTGCTGTAAAATTGGGGGTTTCGATTCTTCTTGTGGGTCTTGCATTTAGGTTTTTTCACAATCGGTCCTCCGACTTTTCTCCAGTTACAGAAACCCCCTTTCTTCTGATTCCACCACCCTCTGTTTTTTCTGTCGGTACTGAACTAAATTCCGATCAAATCCCTCTCCAAGGTCAGATTTTTATTACTTTTTTTTTGTTTTTTCTTTCTGTACTGTATTTAATTTATGGTGTAAATGCTATAAATTATAATTAACTAAAATGATCCCTTGTTTGGTTAGGGAGATTAGCATGATTAACTAAATAATTGGACTTTGTTTCGTGTTTGGTATTTCCAATAATTTGTTGTCGATCAGCAAATATTATGTTATCATAAATAATACCATCTCTGGCTTCATTTGACAAATGTTGATGCTGATGCATTAACTATTTTTTTTCTTCTCAATTTCGCCCTAATTACTCTTAATTAGTCGATGGAGGATTAGTGGAAAAGTTAATTAATGATAAGGGTGTTTTCGTCACATTATATATATTTTTTCTTCTTATAAAAGTCTATCCATATTTATTAATTTTCTTAATAAATCTATGCCTAATCAAAACGACACTTATGTTTAAACATAACTCATTTGGTTCTCGTTGAAGCTTCTACTAACTAAATAGTAGGGACTAACACATTTGGTTGGCGAGATATACACTTTCTGTAACCCGCTACTAAAATCAAAGTCCGCTACTAAATGTTACTATTTCCTTAGGTCTCGCTTAGTTGTCAAGATAAGATTAGTCAAAATAAGATTAAATAATCTAATGAAACCCAATTATTTTATTGGAGCTTGTAATGTACAACAACAAAAAAAATTCATTAGAAGGCAAAATAGGGCAAGATCAGCCATGATTATATAATTTTGGCGGGTCGACCCGACAATTTATTGGCTTATAGTTAATCATAGCTTATCTTGGCAACCAAACGAAGCCTTAAAGTAGTAGCACCCCCCCCCGGGATTAATTTAATGAGGGGTGATTAAACAAGTAAAGTACTATTTTATCCTTCAAACTACATGTTAATTTTATTAAATAAAAGGTATCATAGACAAATCACATATAATACCAGAATTTACCCAGTGCACCTATATGGTTGGCTGCGGGTTCCTGCTTTTTCAAAAAAAAAAAAAAAAAAAAAAAAAAAAAAAAAAAAAAAAAAAGAATTTAGTACAAGATCTAATCTTACATACCAAATATCATACTAATTAATTAATTAGTCAGTAGTGAATTAATCCAATCTCATCTAAATTAAACTTATCCGATATAGGTAACCATACGAGTCAGTAGATTAAGTAGGATTAGGTGTATAATAATATGTTGTTATTTTTTATTTGGGTTTTGCAATTATAAATCCTTTGGAGTGTAATTTATTCGCAATTAATTAACCTTAAAATACGGATTATGTAATATATTAACAAACTATTGATTAATAAACGATACTCATTTTGATAATGCACAGGAAATGATGCGAAATCCGAACAAAACAAAGAAAAATGCGATATTTTTACGGGGGATTGGGTTCCTTACAAGGGAGAACCTTTGTACACAAACAACAGCTGTAGCTTTATCGAGCAACATCAGAATTGTCTGAAAAACGGAAGGCCTGACAGAGGCTATCTTCACTGGAAGTGGAAGCCCCGTGATTGCGATTCGCCTCAATTCGATCCTGTGAGGTTTCTTGATTTAATGAGGAATAAAAGCTGGGCTCTCATTGGCGATTCTATTTCACGGAACCACGTCCAATCGTTGCTCTGCCTACTCTCAATGGTAAATAAATAAATAAATAATAATAAATAAACTCTATATATCGTATAAATACAGTTGATTTCATTCGGTGAAATCTATTTCTTGTTCTTTCTTTTGTTATGCCAATGGTTTTGCCATAATCACAAATGGTGATAATGCAGAGTATATATATGAGTTTATTGCATTCGGCACCTTTGTGTTATATCGAATTGCTAAAAATATCCTTGTGTTATACGTATTAGCAAGAACCCCCCTGTGGTTCAATTTTGTTAGCACACAACCCCCTAAATCATGCTTTTTTAGGGGGTAGTTTGCTAATAAAATTGAATCGTAGGGGTTTTTACTAATAATATGTATAACACGGGGAATTTTTTTAACAATTAGAGTAAACACATGGATCTGAATACAATTAAGTGAATTAACCATGCTGTCAACTGTTTTTTTTTGGTGGTAAGTAATTTGCTAGATGTTATTAGATGGGTTTATTGCAATTAGTACCCCTGTGTTGTTTTGTTGGCAAAAACACCCCTATGATTCTTTTTTTTAGCACACAACCCCCTAAACAGGGGTACTAATTGGTAAAAAAAATTAAACCATAGGGTTTTTTCACCAATAAAATAATATGAGGTAGTCTTTTAACAATTCAATATAACACAGGGCTACTAATTGCACTAAACTCGCTATTAGACGTTATTTTGCCTAGATAACCGAAGCTATTTCTATCATACAAGGGCGAAAATGGAAAATATTCCGAGTGAAATAATAATATAAATATTCGATTCTTGATATTACACATGTCTTAAGCAAATTTCTTATCCCCAGGTCGAAAAAGCAGTCGAAATTTACCACGACGAAAATTACCGGTCTCGAAAATGGATATTCCCGTCACACAACTTCACTCTCTCGGTAATCTGGTCTCCTTTCTTAGCCGAAGCCGCGATTTTTGAAGACATGAACGGAGTTTCCACGTCAGAAATTGAGCTCCATCTCGATAAGCTAGACAAGAACTGGACCCACCACTACAAAGACTTGGATTACATTATATTTTCGAGCGGCAAATGGTTTGTAAAATCCACCATTTATTACGAAAACGACACCATACTCGGATGCCACTACTGCCCCAAAAGAAGCAACATCACAGAACTCGGGATAAACTTCGCTTATCGAAAAGTCATCAGAAAAGTTTTCGACTATATTATCGAGTCGAATAACAAAAACAACGGCACGGTGTTTTACAGAACTTCCACACCGAGCCATTTCGAAAACGGGGAGTGGTTTAGTGGTGGGACCTGCGGGAGAAAAGTGCCAGCTAAGCAAGGCGAGTTTGACTGGAACGAGTTGACCAAGATTCTTCGTGCAATAGAGTTGGAGGAGTTTGCAAAGGCTTCGGTCAAGGCTTATGAAAATGGAGTGAAGCTTATGCTTTTGGATGTTGGCCCGCTTTCGCTTTTGAGGCCCGATGGGCATCCGGGCCCGTATAGATTTTATCAGCCGTTTGGTGATGATGAGAATGCGAAGGTGGTAACGATGTCTGCATTGGTGTTTGC